CACACACACACACACACACACACACACACACACACACACACACACACTCACACACACCTCATTCACAGGTTCCTGTAGTGCTGATATTACTCCGTCTTGTTGCTGACATCATTTGGAAGTGCTTTTTCTGTTTTCTGGCTGTTCTCAACATCCCCCACAGTTACAGCTTTGTGTTAATAATTTCTAAATAAGATTAATTTATCTTCGGTGCCAAATGTTTTAATGTCAAATGGAAAATAAATTGCTTGCAAGTCAAATAAAGCTAAAATCAACAGGTATTTAGATTAACAAAACAAGTTGACCAAATACTTGTTTTTAGCATCATAAAAACACAAATGTTCCTTTAGACTGCTCCACAGACGCTTGTGATTTTAATGTTTGCATTTTCTCTCATTGTGCAGCCGTTATGATAACCTATGAGCTCAGCTCACCATGGATAACATCAATAATAAAAGTCATGGAAGAATGAAAAATGCACTTATTGTCTAAAATATCTATCAATATCATGTTATTTTCCTTATAATTAATTATAAATTAATTTATATAACATGCCATAAACTGTTTAAATAAAGCGTGTCAGTCTGTGGCAGCTTTAACTTCGTTGTAAAGTGGTTGTATTCTAATTGGAAGGTCAATGATTCAAACCCAATGAGGGGAGTGGTGGCGCAGAGGTTAGAGAAGGTGGGCCTGTGATCAGAAGATCGCCGGTTCAACTCCCAGTGCGACAACATGAAGATGTGGGTGGGGATATGTGACACACCCACACCTGCCTCCACCCTTGTTTGCTCCACTCTGGGCTCTTGATCAAGGTCCTTAACCCCCACCATCTGCTCCTCCGGGTGTCCTAGGTAGCAGCTCTCTGCTCCACACAGAGGGCTGTGGTAGCTCGGTGGTCTGTGGTGTCAGGAAGGACATCCGGCGTAAAAATAATCGTCAAGTCTTCGTGCGACTTAGTTCGCTGTGGCGACCCCTGAAGAAGGGAGCAGCCGAAAGAAGAAGAAAGATTTAAACCCAATGCTTTTTTTTATATACAAGAATTTCACTGAAAATCAGATATAGTAGATCTTAAGAAACCTCAGCTTGGTGAAGTGCTCTTGAGCAAGACATTGTACCTACACATTATTCCCCGGTTGGTGTTTTGGTACACACCTGAGAATAATAATACTGTCTCTACAAAGTGCAAATGCAGGATAACAGTATGTATGAACATCCATCCATCTTCTATCCCCAGTTACTCCTGCTCAGGGTCAGCCGGGTACATCCTGGACAGATCTCCAGTCCATCATGGTGTGTGAATTAGAAAGAAATGATAAAGCACTTTGCAGACCCTAAATTAGACTAAAAACACTGATTGTATGCTGGGTTCACGTACATGCAGCTTTATGTGTTAAATTCTGATCAGATTGGCCCAAACTTTCCATTTAGAAGCAGACGTTTGGACTCTAGTCCAAGGAACTTTTCAATGAGCATTATAGCATTGTGACAATAGTTATGCTTGTCATCTGTTTGTTTGTTTGTTTATCTGTTTGTTTGCGTTTTTGTCTATTTGTTTTCTAACTTGATCCTGGCATATTTGTTTTTAACATGCTTGATCCTCAAGGACAAATGTTGGAACTTTGTGCTTCCATTTGTAAACCACAGTCCATCACTGTGCCAGGTCCCCTGCACGAACACTACCCCCACCCAGGCCTCCAGCTATGCCCTCTCTCCACCAAGGTTTTAGGGAGAGTATTATGTGGGCGATGGGCCCAGGGTTCCTGTCAGGGTCCAGGTTTAGGCTTGGCAGTCGGGGCTAGGTACAGGGTCAAAGGGTGGGGTTATGGTCAGAGAATGGTTTAAAGACAGTCAAAGGGTTAAGTTTAGAGAGATGGGTCCCGGGAAGCCAGATTTTTTGCAGGCTGAGCCTGGTGTACTGTATGACCTTTGGCAATACACACACGAATAGACAATAGATTGCCAGCACCTCATAGAGATGCCTTTGAAAATACCCTGGGAGATACATCTGTCTCTCTACTTCTATCAAAACCTGCTCAGAAGTAAAACTGTCAATAAACCATTTTAAGGACGTGAAACAGAAAACTAAATTCATCGTACATCAAATTATACAAGAACTATACTGTAAGTCAATTGCTAAGGGTCTTATGGAGTAAATAATCAAACTGTGTATTTTTAAATTAAATAATTTTTATTATGTAAAGAAGAGGTCATGAGAGAGTTGTCTGAAAAAGAGTGGAGTCTCTGTCTTAGCTCGGAGCTACATTTCAGCCAGCACCACTGGTAATCTTCTAAAAATTGATCAAACTAATTAAACCACATGAACAAGTACCATTGACTATTTGAAGCAACAGCTTCATTTTTTAACATGACAATTTTCTCACACACACAGTCAGGGCAGGAAAAGCAAAATAGATGCACAAAGGAACTGCGTCATTCCTGAGCCAGCATAGTGGGTTCAAACTAACTGAAAAGTAAATTAAAGTCAGCCAGCATCTGAAAACAGGCATCAAGAAACTTCATCTTGAAAACTGCGTTGAGAAAATGCAAAAACTTTAGACTGTCCTGCAGAATAACAAAGGTCACACGGAACAATACCTTTCAGGTTGGTTGTAACCACAGACAGTCAGTTCCTGACTCATATTCTCTCTGCATCACTGTATTTGCTTAGTTCTGTCTTGTCTATCCATCATCTTCCACTTGTTCCTGACATGTCTGGATAAAACCTCCCTTGACTGTCCCACTGGGACTGATTCTATAGCCCACACCATGTATTAAGATGAACCCGACTATATCTAGTCGGTACCTCTCAACTTGATGCACAAGCTCAGGCTCCTTCCCCACCAGAGGTTATGTTCCATGTCCCAAGAGCAAGTTTTGGTAAGTCAGGGTAAGAGAGCCAAAGTCCCCACCTTGGGCTGTCACCCATGGCACTGTGTACCCGACTTGTATTGCCCCTCCTGCAGGTGTAGAGTTGCAATCGGGCCTAAAAAATCTGACTCGACCCAGCACCAGCCCGTAGTCATTTGTTCCGAATCCGAACCAATCCGATCAAATTAACTGTAGGCCCGGACCCGGAAAAAAACGACATTGTATTTATTAAGCTTTTACTGCTTTTGTAAACAAATCAGTTTGACATGATAGTTTAAAAATGTATTTCAAAGAAAGGAACATATAAGATTTCTTGTTTCACCAAATGGATATTAACATACAAAGCGAATAGCCTAAAAATGTCAACTCTAAAGAGAGACTATTATACAGATGAACAAAAATAGTTTAGAGCAAAATTATTTGGAAAAATATAGAACAAGGTTATTTTAATTGAACGCGCTGCTCGCTTCGGCTTTTGTAGATGCTGCTACTTCCTTCACCGCAGATGACAGCAAGTGTGGAGACGCACACAGCCAGTGATCAGCAAATCCATCCATCCATTATCTTTACTCGCTTCTTCTTTTTCGGGTAGTGGGGGTCACTGGTGCCCATGTCCAGCCATCACTGTGTGAGAGGTGGGGGACACCCTGGACTGGTCTCCAGTCCATTTCTACCAGTGGGTCAGGGGACGTACGCGGCCGGTGACAGGTTGTCCATCTGAGCTTAACTCAACTTTTTTTACCTCTTAAACCGGCCGGTCGGACCTGCCTCCTCCTCTACAAGTAGATCAACACAATTTTATATTGTGCATTCTTATTTAGTTTTATTTCTGCTGTATGATTCGTAAAACCTCATCAAAGCCCGAGACCGGCCCGCACATTATTATGGTCCGGCCCGGCCCGGCCCGGCCCGGTCCGATTCCAGGTCGGGCTGAATAACAAAGGTCACATATACTCATTCGGACTGATCCTGACCAAGCCTCATGGGTAGAGGTCCGGTCACCAGGTACTCACCTATGAGCCACTCCTCAGGCCTGGCTCCAAGGTGGAGCCCCAGTAACCTACGTCCAGACAGGGGACACTGAGCTCCTTGTCATCATCTGTCCATACGAGTGTTTTCAATCACTCCTCATCTGGTCTGACACCTATAGGACCAATCTGCTTTGGAAGACAGCGATTGCCCCGGACAGCATAGTTCCTTGGATCATTCAGACACACAATCTCCTCCACCACGATAAGGAGGCGATTCACGGAGGAGCTTAATTCCTACGTGAGTGCAAATCATTGTGAGCAGATTTGAGATTTTTGTTCCCAGTGTTTTATTCAAACTGGCATGTCACTGTTCCTGTTTTATGGAGACTAAATCAAACTTGCTTCTAGGAAGGATAGTTTAATAAATATGCATGCCTTTCATAAAACTTCTGAAGTGACTAAATTAAAACGGGGGACTGTTGAAGTAGAGGGATTTTTACTCTTTCCTCACTCGTATCCAGTGATAAAACAGCAAGAGTTGATGATTTTCTGCTCATTACCGGAGCATCAGAAGTCATCGAATCCACTGACTCCTCATTCATTTAAAATTTAATTAGAAAGACTTATTTATAAGAGAGACAATGTGATAGCCAAGGTTCTGTTTGGATTCTGAGTGCTAGTTGTTTTATGACGGTACAGTGAATAAGCTGTCCACTTAAACTGCTTCCTACCTACATTTATGCCCACCAAGTGCATAACGAAGCCGCAGCGTCAGCTCGCTTGTCTTTGTGATCCAGCCGTGTCCTCCTGTGTGTTTGTCTCCACCTCCCTGAGTGTGCTCGCCCCCGTGTGTGTTTGTTTGGTGGCTGTGCGGCGAGTGAAGGTAAATTGCAGTGATTATGTGGCAGTAATTGAACAGGGAGAGTGTGTTTAATTGAGTTGTTGTTTCCTGATGTTTCTCTGTAGTAGCAGGAGGCACCATGCTGACAGGCGTCTCGTCTCACCTTACCAAGATGAGAAGTTTTTCTTTTCTCCTGTTACTGCACCAGAGGCTTTGTGAGTGTTTTTTTAGCTTCATTTGAGTCTGTTTTGACTTAATGGCGTTCGGTTGGCTCGGGGATGAGAGGGAGAGTGTTTGAAGCCTGTTTCAGCAGGTAGAAGAAAGAGGCGACTCTGAGCGCTTAGGATTTAAATACATACTGTTCAAAAAGATGCAGGTTCTTCATTTATACACCTGTATGTGTGTGTGTGTGTGTGGGGGGGGGGGGGGGGAGGGGGTGTACATGAAGGCTGACCAGCATGTATATGTGTTTATGTGTGGGGAATCATTCTGCTTGTTTTATGGGATTGCATGCATATTTGTACACGTTTGTTTCAACTTATTTGTGGCGCACAACAGAATTTCTGGTTGTTTATTTATTTGTGATCATCACGTATGTATGTGCGTGCGTGCGTACGTACGTGTGTGTGTATAGCTGTATCTGATCTGCCTCTAGGGCTCCATGGTCCAAATCAAATGGTACAAAACATCAATTTCACCATTTGGTTTCCTCCTTCTTCTCCTCCCCCTTCCTCACCTCCTCTTCTACATTTTCTTTCCCTCTTCTTCCCTTCCTCCCCTCCAGCTCCTCTCCTCCCCTCCTGAGAGGGTCTCTCTCTGTGGAGGTGTGATTACGTTCCTCCTCTAAGCACCAGTGATCTGAGGGCTCGGTGTTTTGTGTGTTTTGTGTGTGTGTGTGCGTGCGTGCGTGCGTGCGTGCGTGCGTGCGTGCGTGCGTGCGTGCATGCGTGCGTGCGTGTTAGGTTGGTGATCTGAGCAGCCTGGTGCTGCTGGTATTGTGAGGCACAATTCATGGACGATGTCTCCAGATGAATGCCTCCATTCACAATTACAGCCTCTCCATTAGCTGCAGCCCTTCCTGCCTTGTTGTTGTCTTTTCTTCATCTCTGTAAGAAAAAAGCAATTAAAGCTGGACAAAAACAAGATAGAAGAACACAAGCAGTGTACCTGGAGAAAATGAAAAAATAACAGTCTGGGAGGAGATATGCATTATTTCAATTGCATTTCTGATTTTTTTTTTATCCTGGATGTTCTTTAATATTCAGACATAAACTCTGTCTCTAACTTATTTGCTCACACAACTAATCAGTTGTGAATACAAATATTGTTTTCTAAGTGTGCCTGCTTAATTGCTTAAACCTTTCTGTAAGTCCAGGAAATGTTAATGCTTCTTCATTAGAAGGGATTAAATTGGGATTAAAACCTTAATAGATGGTTTAAATAAAGCAAGATTTTAGTTTCCTATTTTGTTGGTGTAATATTTATTTCTCCTGTGGAGGAGGATGAGCGTCAGAGCCAACTGAGACAGACATGTTGGTTGCAAGGTGAAATTGCACGACGAAACAAATGTTGTGCACGTATATAAAGCCACTTTAGAAATCTCAATCCAACAAACATCTGTCTTTGGCCTAGAACAGGGGTCTGCAACCTGTGGCTCTGGAGCCACATGTGGCTCTTTGGTTCCTCTGCAGCGGCTCTTTCAAGCTTTGACCAACACGGACAAACCACTGCCAGTTTGAACAGTTTCATGTCATTGATTTTGCAAATTTGTGAATACTAGTACTAATATAAGGAGTAAAATATACTTTAACTTTATGCTTTATTTCTTTAAAGTAGGATACTTAATTTTTCCACAAAAAACAAACAAACACTAGACTTGCATAGCTCATTGTTTAAATTTCCATCCTTCCATCTATCCATCCATTATTTTTTACCAGCTTCTTCCTTTTCGGGTCACGGGGGTTCCTAGTGCCCAAATTCAGCTATCACTGTGTGAAAGGGCTTAATTTGAGCCGGATCTTGCCAGAACAGGATCTGGGAACTCTCTTATTTTGACAGGTTGCATTCCGGTAACTGCTTGGATCCCCTAACGCTCAGTCTTACTAATAATAAAATTATGAACAAATTTGACTGCCTTGAACGAATAAAACTTACCAGTACATTGGATATGTAAACTGAAATTTGTGCCACCACTCTTTAATTTTTTTTTAATTTGTAAAAACTATGAACATACATTTTTCTTTACAATAATCCTGTCTTTTCCTTTGTCTTTAAATATAAAAATATCAATGAATTCCAGAATTGCGCCGCTCAAGGTGGCTGCATGTTGGAGTAGCTCTCTTACATTCATTCTGAGATTTTGCTTTTGAAAACTTTAATTCCTCTTTTTTTCTGGATGTAAATTGATTTTTTCAGATGATTACTTCCTCTGGTATCAGAAGCTGTGCTGCTGGAAGGATTTTTACTGAAACTTTTTTTTACTTTTGGACATTTGTTATGATGCGTAACCATAACGACAAGCTGGTTTTCTACTACTGGGAGCTGCTGATTAACATCTCAAAAGCTCAAATAATACCTCAACTACAGCCCCAAATCCCAAATGAGTTGAAAATGAGGTGCCGTGGATGCATTCCCGTCTACCTAGAGGCTGTGCTCGAGTCCCTGACAGCTGAGATCTTGGAGGTGGCGGGAAACGTGGCTCGTGACAGTGGGAGGACCAAGATCGTCCCCCGACACCGCCAGTTAAGTTTGCTGTCGGACGGACTGCTACAAGAGATCCTTCCTGCCCAAAGCCATCAGCATCTATAACAACTCTAATGAAACCAAGATGAGCTACAACAACAATTAATTTCCCTTTGGGATTAATAAAGTATTTTTGAATTGAATGTTTAAAATCATTAGATATTTTTATGTCAGTCCTACTGGCCTGAAAAAGCCTCCTGCAACAAACTTAAAGTGGTCCACGGGCCACCAGTAGATGATCATAGTTGGGGTAAGTTTTGTGGCTCTGGACATTTTAATTTAGTGAGCGAGGGGGCAGAAATGGTTCTTTGGATCGTAAAGGTTGCAGACCCCTGACCTATAGACGAACCCAACACCTCCAGAGAAGCCCAGTGTTTGTCACACAGATTCAGACTCTGAAGCATCAAAAAAGCATATGAACATCAAAAGTTGTCAGATTCAGCACTTAATAAAATAAAACTTGTGCAAAACACAGGTTTTAAATTTAAAAAATGGTTATTTTTTTGTAAGTTTTGGCCCATTTAAGACCACTGTAGCTATGTAGAAACCTCAGGTTCCTTTAAAATTTGCTGCATTTTAAAGGTACAATCATTTCTGTTTTTAGATAAATCATAACGTTAGCGAAATAAGCACTTTTGAGTATTTTCAGCATGAATGCTAATTTTAAAAACGTAGTCTGAACTTTTTTCATTGTGATGCAAACTGAGCCTGTCAACAACAAGAAGAACTGGTCAGATCAGTCAATTAGGAAATACATTTTGCCTCACAATGATTTACTTCACACTTGCTCTAAAGCTAGTACATCTCACTGGGATGCTACTGCTGGTCACTATTTGGCAAAAAGCATGTGACTTGCAAGGAAGCCTCCAAAATGTCTCAAAACGTTTGCAGGGGTTTTTCTTGCGCGAGTCACACAGGCTTCGTTTGTTCCTTGAGTTTGGACTTGTTCAAAAATACTTGAGACAAAGTTTCCTCAGAAGAGTCACAAAGTTGTTGCAGTCAACATCTCAGTTTAGTTTCTGTAAATTTTAGAGCACTGGAGCTGGTGTGTGGCACCTGTGTGGGTGCTCTCCTGTGCAAGGTGACAAACAGAAATCAGTGAGACTGCAACAGAAAATTCACGCTTTCTCACAAGTGTGTCACCATCTAATCTCAGCCGCAGCCCAGTGAGGCACTATTGATAAAGGTGGAGATTAATTTGCTCCTCATGGATTCTATTCTGCACAAAGAAAAAAAGCTGTTTCAATGTAGATAACCAAGAAACAAGCTGCACTGTAAATCAGCGCAGAGTTTTAATCAGTGACGGATGAAAAATTTGGAGCATTTAAGAAAGATGTGCTTGATCTTTGGTCAGTAATATTCCGTTCTTCCTCTTTCCATTTTAGAGATGTCCCTGCACAGCCTTGTGTACATGGGGTCACATCACCCCATCCCTCACAGCGGGTTGGACCGTAGGAACGCCTCCCCTCCTCTGGATCTGCTTCAGTGGGTCTACCAAATGGAAAGAGACAGGAAGGTGCAGGCTGCTGACATCACTCTCCCTGCCAAAGCCCAGGTACAGTACTGTACACAGAGTTAAAAACCCACACGCTTCACACATCGTTCACACACTGTGATTTACTGTTCCAATAAATCACTGAGCTCACCTAATTTCCTATGGATTTCAATTTCCCCCTGGACATATCTGCATTGATCAACTTCAGGTGTGAGGATGTGCCAGGCGTCGCTCACTGTGACACTGAAGAATGGCTCTCAGATCTCTGCCATACGGCTGCCAGAGTGTGTGTGTGAGTGTGTGTGTGAAGGGTACAACAAGGGGATTTGTGCTCATGCAGCATTTCTGCTCAGCGCTGTCGTCACTGTCGAGGCATTAGGATACAAATCCTTGAGTCTGAGTAATAACATCTGAAAATGTCAGAATCATACAGGCAGAGATAAGGATCAGACCGTTGAATCCAGACTCAAGATATTGTTAGTCTGATCATATCTGCTCATGCGTTGAGTCTAGGCCTGATTATCAGAGGGAATTAAGCATCATTCTGCAACAGTTGTTGCCACAAAGAAAGGACCAGGTTGAAAAACTCTTTAGAAATTAAAGATATGTTTTCTCAGTAATCGGGGACTGCCTAGTATAAGGCAGCCACCTAATATTATCCACCTGACAAGGGTTTCTTAACTTTATATCTTACTCCTCCATCGACTTTAATGCGGCCCGAACCGCAACGTGTACCCCCAGAAATGTTCATTCAAAACGACCAGCTTGGCACTGTGATGTGTGCTATTACATTTACTGGGGTTTCAAGTTACCATGGTGACATAATTTGCAAACAAAGACACCATTTTTATTAGTCATTTTTTATAGACCGTGGTTGCAAATCAAATGTCCAAAATAGCCACCTGAGCTAAAAAGGAAAAGATACTGTAAACCAGCCATTTGTAAAGATATTAAGCTGAAATTTGGTGTGGTAGTAGCTGAGACCATCCATCCATCCATCCATCCATCCATTATCTTTACCCGCTTCTTCCTTTTTGGGTCGTGGGGGTCACTCGTGCCCATGTCCAGCCATCACTGTGCGAGAGGCGGGGTACACCCTAGACAGGTCACAAGACCATCACAGTAGCTGAGACCAATGCCCAATAAATAGTGAATTTTAAAAAAATCAAGATGGCCACCAAAGTTCGATTTAAATAGCTTTAACTCGGCTATTTTGACACATTGAGCTGAAATTTTGTATGGTTCTAACTGAGAACCTTCCCCATAAGTAAGGTTCTGTGACAGCTTCTGCCCAACCACCATTAGACTTTTGAACCACTCCAAATAATCCAAGACTATAATATTGTTTTATCTACCTCTTATTTGAGTGTTTGCACTAGGGATGCACAATATTATCGGCATGGTATTGGTATCGGCCCGATATTACCGTTAAAGTTCAATATTGGACATCGGCCATTCCATTAAAATAACTCAGTGATATAAAATACACTGTTGTTGTATGACAACCCAGTGACAAGGATGCCTGCAGCGTCAGCACAATGTGATGACGTCACGTGCACCTACCTGATCTGGTCACGGTGGAGAGGAAGAAGTCAAAATATCGGCGGTGTGGAAGTTTTTTTTTGGTTTTTTTTTGAGGATATTGGATCTGAATCACTTTTTTTTCTCCTTTCGGCCGCTCCCTACTTCAGGGGTCGTCACAGTGAACTAATTCACACAAAGACTTGGCAATTGTTTGTGTGCCGGATGTCCTTCCTGACACAACCTCAGACCACTGACCTACCACAGCCCTCTGTGTGGAGCAGAGAGCTGCTATCTATGGTGCCCTGGGGAGCAGATGGTGGGGTTAAGGGCCTTGCTTAATGGTCCAGGGTGGTACAAATGAGGGTGGGGGCAGGTGTGGGTGCTTCACCTTTTCCACCCACATTTTGATGTTGTCTGTTAGGGGGAATTGAACCGGTGACCTTCTGTTCACAGGCCCACCTTCTCTAACCTCTGCTCCACCACTCCCCACCAACCTTCCCCATCACACACTGAATCCAAATCGAAAATCTAAGATGGCCACCATAGCTTAAAAGAAAAAAGTGACTATAACTGATTGGTATTTTGTTGTTTTAAGCTGAATGTGGTATAGTGGTGAGAGGGAACCTCAACACATAATACTGTCAAATCAAACTTTTAAAATGGCCGCCACGTGGCAGTCCCCGACAAAGTTTCTCCAGGAACTTTCTAGTTCAAGTGATAGTTGTTTTTTTTTACATTTTGAATTTCAACCTCCTCCGTATGTTTTGTGTCTTTATAAGACCAATTATAGCTCTGAGAAAAGTTTGCTCCTGGATGAAAGGCAGCTGCTGCGGGCTGACTTGTCCTTGCAAGGAGTACACGGTCCCGAGGTCCGTGGACGAGTTTAGAGCTGGTATTAGGAGGCGAGCACGAGGTCTGACAACGTCTTTACCCTGAGTTCCTCCCCTAGAGGCAGATCTGAATGGATTGTAGAGGCAAGGAGGAGAAATAAATTGGAGAAAAGGATAAATCAATGCTTGGCAGAGAGGCAAACAGACCTTCCAACCCCCAGTCCACACACACACACACACACACACACACACACAGGTACGCTCAACAGCGTGGCTTTTTTCCTTGGGCTGTATTGGATTGGTATGCAGAGCCGAAGAGAGACACTCAGAAAAGTACTTGGCCTACAAATGATGTCCTTTGTTTGATCCATTAGGTTGGGAATAGTTGGTGGGGAATGAGGTGGGGGGGGGGTCCCACGGAGATGGTGGAAGGGCTGGGAAACAAACATCTCTGTATCTGAGCTTCACCAGGAGCTCCTCATCTGAGGGAGGAAACAGAGCAACTCTAGAAAAATCAGTTTTTGTTTATGTTTTACAAGTTGCAGAGATAAAATGTGTGCGTGGTTTCACAGGACTTCAAGGTTTAATAACTTCACTGGTTGGATTTTTACTCTAAGCAGTCACGTTGTTCGTGTTTAAATGATTGTTTTGTTGCTCTGCTCTGGGACTGATGGTAACTACACTTACACTACAGTTATACTGAGAACTGGGCACCAAGTGACACGGCTGCAAACCGTGGATTTAAATTAGTTTTTATGTCGTCATAGTCAATGTTTGAAAAAACTTGTAAGAATGTAGTTGTAGCCGAAGCACTCCGAGTAGAGTAAAAGTCCACATTTATTTATGATAGTGGACAGCAAGCTGCACAAAGACAACGGAACTGCATAGTAAAAAAAACTGCACAACACAACAATACTAATAATGCAGGACTACAGTAAAATATGATTGAGATACAAAAAGGAAAATTCACACAAATACAAAAAAAACAGAAAAGAATGTGCCTTCTTAAGTGAAGCTAAACTAATCGGGTTCCTATAAATGAAAATGTCCTTGATGGCCGATCCACTGCCTTTACCTAAACTGTAACTGTAAAACAACATAAAGAAATACATTACACTGAAATGGGAAAAAATAAACATTAAAATAATAGTTCAGTCATTTTGAAGTGGGTTTTTGCTGATAATATATGAACAAATAATATCTTACCTGTTGTAGATGGCTTTTTCAACAACTTCTGTCCAAAGTTAAAGTCTGATAGGACTAGAGTGGATGGCTGCAGTCTTAACTCCAGTTTTAAAATACCATGGTAGTCCATGCAATTGATATCTTATACATCTTTTCACTGCTGTTTATTTAGCATTTCACAATTATTACAACAGGAATATTATAAAACTCCTGCCTGGAGTGCTCCAGGCTGCACCCAAAGTGCTGCAGCGAGTTAGCTGCAGCTTTTTGTGCACGTAAATACTCATTGGATTTTAAGTAAATAGCTGTGTAATGATGCTATGACATAAATGTAAAGGTTTATAAGACTGGAGTCGTTTTACGTCGTCACTGAGCCACTTTGGTATTTGATGCATTCAGAGTGCTGTTAGCTCATCAGTCCTGTTTCAGTCATATTTGAAGTATTCTTCTGTCAATAGTATCACAAGTCTAACAAAATGATAAAGACAAAAACATCCACCAGGCGAATGATAGCCACACTGAAATAGCCATCCCTACAATAAAATCATTTCAGGAACGGGTCTCAGCCCTCATCTCCCCTATAACTGTTTTATGGCATTTTTAAGGTAAAACAACACAGTTAAAAATGTCCTACTGGTGTGATAGAATGCTACATCATAAATTAAACCACGGCACTCTAGCATGACACCATTTGTTCAGTTAGTTGTTCTCTCAACAGAACAACACAACATGATGTAGGTGTCAGTCTGCCAGGAGCTCAGCGAGCGTTGGAGCTGCTGAGACGTGCTGATCAGGCGGTCTGATGCATTCAGCAGCGTCCTGATATTTGTTCAGTTAAACTCACGAGAAAACTGCAACAAACTGAGCAAGTCAAGCAAAAGTGTAGACGTTTAATATTATCTAATGTGGCGTTCTATTACACACACGTGCCACATTTTTCAATAAGAGCTGTTTCATGTCTAACAAGAGGGGATCAGTGTAGCCACAAGCCTGGTTCTTGGGTGAATTATTGTCCCTTTTCTTTATTACTTTGTTCTTTAAAACTTCTTTTCCAAATTTAAGTTGTTCGAATGCTACTCACGTCAGATGAGATGTAATTTGCTCACAGCTTCTCCACCAAACCACACTTCCTGTGGGCTGAAGTGGACCTTAACTAAATGTCCGTCATGTTAGCATGTAAAATAGTAAAGATGTAAATCATTATCTTCATACGCTGCTAAAGCTCGTTGTAAATCCCTCCTCGCTTGCTTCTCGAGCATGCGTGTGATCGTATGAGGCTCCCTGCTGAGGTTATCAGACCAGTTTCACTCTCAAAACAGATTCTAAAGATGCAATCAAATCCAAACTTCAACCTCCTCCTAATTATTCATGCATCCCTTTCCTCCCTCGCTGCTCGCCCTGTCTTCACTCCACCACACCGTCTCCATCTCACGTTTTTCTCTGAGACCTGTGCATTACTCTGTTCCCAGCAGCAACAGCTCACACCGGTCGTATTAGCTTGGGAGTTTCTCTTTTGGCTGCGCTTCTTTTTATAGTTTGGTGGTTCATACTGTACTCCCTGCTGCGCTTCTATTTTCATGAATGCTGTGAGAAATAATTGAAAGAGCTGTGTTTCAGTGCCGTCTGTTGCAGAGCTCCCACTTCCTGGTGCCTTGTAAATACTGTATCACTAAAA